TGTGCACTAAGGGCAGCTGTGCTGTCCACTTTTGTGTCTCTTCAGAAAAATGGAGAGCTCAGCACAGCTCAGGAATGAGTGGACAGATTTTTAGTAAGCACCTCTTGCACTGGTAGAGGTAAAAGTCTTGAGTGTGAAGTGGGCTGGGGTTGAACACCCGTGGCAGGGAAAATGGAGATGTGTGATGTCTGACAGTAACACTGCAGAGCTTGGCACAGGGGATTCTCCTCTGGCAACGTGGCCATTTCTGTGTTGGATCACCACATTACCATTATGGGAAGAACTGCAAAACACCAATGTACACCACTGAGAAAGTTACAAAGCACAGTATAATTACCCGTGTTGCATTTTGGCCAGGATGTCAGGATTAGCACTCCCTCCTCTGTCAAGAAATGTTTAAATGAGCACAGATGGTCATGACTCAGCCTGGGGTTCCCATGGATGTGTAGAGCATGGTGTAAAACACTTGGACAACCCCCAATCTGATTGTATGTCCAGCCAGATGAAGCTGAGCTCTCAAGAGGTTTGAGCGTAGGGGAGCTTTCTGGGGAGGGACTCAGGTTCTCCATCAGCCATTTTTCTTCCTAATGCCTTCTGTGATGCAGTGGAATCTTTCCTTTGGGCGTGGATCCCATCTGAACTGAGTGGAAAACTAGTAAGAGAGAAATGTAGAGACTGGCCTAGCGGTTGGGGGTACTGTGTTACCTGATCAGCTGTTTTAAGAACATGCTAGAGAGGGATGCTCATCACAGCTCAACATCTGGAGAAGTTCTGGAGCCCAAGAAAAGGGCAGAGCACTGTTGAACTCCTTCCTTTGCTGGGGTTCTGTCTAGTCTGTATTTTCTGCTTAGAACAGTAGGACCTCAATACTTACTGTTCCTAACTCCCTTCTATCAAGGTTCAAGTTGGGATTAAACACCCACACCTGAGGTCTGGAACTTCATCTGATGCACCTTGTGTGGGATCTTGGACAATCTGTGTGTCCTGGGCCCAGCCTGGTACTTGAGTGGGGTTCTGGTAACAGTGTCTTGGGTATCTGTGCTCCTCTCCTGCACGTGCCTGCACACACATAGCTGTGTATAAGGCTGTATATGCAGTTGCTGAGATAGAGCTAAAATTTTTCTACAGGCCTGATCCATCCCAGAAATCCTATGTTCAGCATTTATATGGTGTGATATCACAATCCCTTTCCTAATTCCTTGGATATCAGCAGGTGTGGCACATAATGGACAAAGGGTTTTGCCAGTGGCAGTGCAAACAGGGTGTAGGGATGTGGGCTGGTGTTGCATTTGCAGGGATCCCCATGGCAGGGAGGAATGATGCATCTGACTCCATGTTTCAGAAGGCTCATTTATTATTTCATGAAACTATGTTATATTAAAGAATACTATACTATACTAAAGAATACAAAATAGATACTTACAGAATGCTAAAAAGATAATAATGAAAACTCGTGACTCTCCCCAGAGTCCTGACACAGCCTGGCCCTGATTGGCCAAAGAGTGAAAACAACTCACAGCAGAATCCAATGGAACAATCACCTGTGGGTAAACAATCTCCAAACACATTCCACATGAGCACAACACAGGAGAAGCAAATGAGATAGAATTGTTTTCCTTTTCTCTGAGGCTTCTCAGCTTCTCCAGAGGAAAAAACTGGGCAAAGGGATTTTTCAGAGAATGTGAGTGCTACAGGCTGGTATTATAGAAACCACATGCTTGTTAAGTGCCCTATTTCGGCTGGTGTGCATGGTCCCATTAAAGCCAGCGTTGGCTCCTTTGATGGGGCACGAGACTGGTTTCCTTCATGGTTTCCCTGATTTATGTCCCAGCAGAGAACTCGGACGTCAGTGGGGAAAGACCAAGTAACAAGAGAAGCGAGCCAAGCCTCACCCCGTCGGCATGATAGGACATCAGATCCTTCAAATCCCTGCCTTTGGCAGCCTGTTAGTTACAGGGTTTAAATCATGCGTCTTAAGGCTCAGGTAGAGACACTAAAAAGCCTGGGCCTTTCTGAATTAGGGCCTGGATTGTGTAGTTAGGGTCATTTTCTCAATTAGCTAAACATAAATCAGTCTTAACGAGGCACTTGGGAGCATTGGGCAGGTTTAGTACCTTGTCTCTCCTGCCTCTGTCCTTACCACTCCCACCTGCTTGTTTGGCTGATCAGCCAGTGATTTTATTTTTCCACGCTGCCAGTGCTGAGCAGTGGGTTTTGATGTCTGAACTGGTTTTCACACCTGGCACATGAGTGCAGGAGGGGAGAACTGGGAGAAATTGCTCTTGGGCAAGAAAGTAAAACACCTCTTACGAGTGGCAGGGATTCAACAGTGTCAGCCCTCCAAGCCACACTATCCTTCAGAGGCTGGGAATGGTGTCTTGTTGAACAGGCAGTGGTGGGTGGTGACAGGAGAGCAGAAAGTCCAGCAGCAGCAGGGATGTGATATCTGGGAGTGGGAAGCACAGGCTGGGGCTGCAGCCCTAGAGCAGGGTAATGGAACACATGACCCCTTTCCCAGGAGCCTTTTCCTTGGCTCTGCCATGTGCTGTTTTCTGGAGACTGATGGAAATTTGGGATGGGATAGGTTGCTCTGTACCCAGTTCAGCCCAGTGCTCTGGTGGAGCCTTGGGATCCATTTCTGCAGGCAGCAAGAGAAAAGCTTGGAGGTTCCTCACAGCAAAGAACGAAACCCTGAGAGATGAAAGAACCCAATATTTGTGATGCCATTGAAGTGGATAAAAATCATCCCAAGGGAAAGGTGCAGTGTTGGGGATATCCCTTCAGTCTCTTACATTGTTTAGAATCAGGGAGGGTGTGGCAGAATGAAGGAACAGAGTCACTACACCCAGACCATGCCGTGGCCCTCCCTCAGTCAGCTTTCAAGGGCTGGAGCTGAATAACACAAAAACACCCAAACACCAAAAAAATGCTTCGTGGGTAATAAAAGAGAAACATGAGTCACAAATAAATCTCTGAGTGATGGGCCTTTTTAGCTTTCCCACACAAGGTTTCTTTACTCTAGCAGCTGGTAAGGGCTGGTGATGTATCATTAACATGACTGATGTGATCCTCTCATGTCCATGTTACCAGGGCTGAATCTCACCCTTCAAATGTCTGTCAGACATTTTTCTCTGCAGTAATTGGTCTTTGTTCTGGTTTGCTGGTGTTTCCTGATTATTCAGGGCCAAATTGAGCACCAAATCTCAGCTTGGGAAAGCATTGCTCTGAACTTTCTGTGCCTTGGGAGCCCTCAAATACTGTGACGGGTTTGTAATGGAACAGTGCAGACAAGGAGACACAGCAGGAGCAGCTCTAAATGCACAATTGCTGACCTTGTGTTGCTCCTGCATTAGTCTCTAAGTGCCCTGAAGGAGACCCACTGAGTTATTTCAGCTCCACAGCTTCCTCCTTCAAGGAGCCAGTAAAGGAGGAGTAGAGCAAAGCACAGAGGCACTCTGTGAACTACAAGCTTAGCCGAGTGATGGATACCAGCGAGGCTGTGGCTGCTCTGCAGTCCTAAATCCAGCAGCACCAGAAACAGGAGCCCTTCAGCTGCCTGCCATGCAGCTAAAGGGCAGCTGACCTTCTTGGCCACTGCCTCCACTGTATCCCAGGAGAAGTGAAGGGACGGAGAGCTCTGGGAGTCATTCCTAGGCAGCAGGTACCAGCAACTCCCTGCTTTTGTGACTCTTCACAGGCAGGACCTGGGTGTCCTGCAGATGGTGTCTCAGCAAGCTGTGTTACTTTGCTCCCTTCCTTTTTCCATGTGGGAGGGAAGCCCTTTGTACTGCCACTGCCCTAGGAGGTCATGAGCCATCAGCCCATCAAGGATACCTCACTAGAGGTGTTTGTGGACTCCATTTAAGTCACAAAGTGGCTGTCCCTTGGATTGTTAGCTTGGGCCACAAACTCCTGGCAGAGCCCTGCTGTGAGCCTCTGCCAAAATCTCTGTTGAGTACACTCACTGCCTTGGGCACATGAGCTAGGTACAGCTCTGCCTTTGCAGGCTTAAGTCACTTTCCCCATCCCAGTGTAGACAGACACTGTCCCTATCCCAAGGAGGGGTTAATCCAATTCAGACATCATTTTCTTCAAAGTTTCCCAGTTTGCATCTGGAGTAGGTTTCTGAGCATCACCCCAAACCCGCATCACGTCCTAAATAGTCCTGTAGCTGTTTGGGTGATGACTCTGGTTGCTGATGGTGCATTTTTCATTGTCTCTGGTGCTAATGGTCTCCTAGAGGTTGTGTCTCTGGCTTGGCTGTCGTGTGAGCTGCAGCTGCTCCCACGTTTTGGTGGTTTGCTTCATGGAGAAGATGATTCTCTTTGGCGTGAGGATGTGCTCATGAAGAACCAGGTCCATTCCAGGGTTTTCCTAACGTGCTTCTCTGAGCCTCCAAGAAGAACATCCTGCAGCTGTTTTAAAAAGTCATGCTTCATTCTCTGCAGGATTTTCTTCTTGCTTCCAGATCTCTTTTTCCCCCATCTGCTAAAATGCCAGTTGTTTTCTTTTCTTCATTCCTCAAATCAAAATATTTAGCAGTGGACTTTTCTCCGTGACATCCCACTGCATCCCTTAACTACTGTGGAGTGTTCATCAGTCTCACTGACATTAACCAGTTCTGCAGGAAAACAGCACTGCCAAGTAGGCAGGCTCCACTCCTGGACAGTGTCTGGTACTGTCAGTGACAGTCCCCCTGTGAGTCTCTCAGGGATGATGCTTTTGCTGGCAGAACTTGAGAAGCTGTTGGATAATACTTTCCTTGGCCTGGCAAGTTGTACTTAGGCCCTCATGGTGCTCCTTCTGTGCTCCTTCTGGCCTCAACATTAACAAAGCTCTATCTACTTTTCAGAGAAGGGAATCACCATTTGCTTTTCAAGGACTAGCCAGTCTCCTCTCCCCCAGCTGCCTGCCACACTGGAGCCTTTCCTTACTTGCACCCTTCCAAGCCACTGGTTTTGTCCTTCTGTCTTTCAAACAGTTTCCCTTTCTACTTCCAGCAGCTGCCAAGAAACCTCATGGACCCATCTGTCCTCCAGGCCAGGCAAACAACCAGGGCTCCCCAGAGCCACCAGGAGATGGGTGAGCACAGAGTGGTACTGGAAATGCTTTAATTCATAGAACTAAAACTCAGTAGGATTAAACTCACAGGCAGTTTTAGAAGCTCACATCCCTGCTGTTCTTCCCACTCCCCCCAGGCTTTGTGGGTATCCCTAAACACTCAGAAATCATTGCTTTCACCTACGGTGTCTCTAAGCCCAGAGGTGGCTGGTTTGAGCTGGTCACCTCTGGGGAGGTGACAAATCATAACCCAGCTGGGCATTCCTGGGGAGAGCCAGAAGGAGACTTCCTGGTGCAGGCGAGGCCTGGGGAAGGCATTTGGGATGGCTGCTATCCTCACACACATCAAAGGTGCAAATGGCTTTTATCAAGAGGCAGTAAAACTAATCCAAAGCCCACTTTAATGTATTTGCCACATATTTGACAGGGAATGGATTTCAGAAATGCTTTCGAGAGTTTTAAAAATTCTTCTGGACCTGTGTCTTAGAGCTCTTTCCACTCTGGAAACATGATGCCTTTGTTTCGGGGATCCCAGATGTTCTGGATTCATGACTGAGGGAAGACTCAGAACTAAAACTATTTCTAAACCTCTTCTGAAATATGGGCACAAATAGTTTGGCTTTTTTTCCTAGCTCTAAACCCCTGTTAAACTCGGGTGTTTTTTTTAAAACCCAGGCCATGCTTACAGTAAATACCACCTCCTCAGTCAGCAAGAGAGACATCTTCCCATTCAGTTGTCAAAAACCCCTCATTTCCACCTCACTAAGCCTGCAAGACACTGGCCTTTTGACCCGCTGGGGTGCTTGCCCCTAGTCTGGAGCTTTAGGCCGGTCCTGTTCTCCTGGAAGAAATCGACCTTTAGTGTTTAAAACAGGAGCAAATCCTTGGCAAGATCAGAGGAACTTTAGTCTTTCTCATTTTCTTTCTTTTTTCTTTTTTTTTTCCTGCAGGAGAGTTTAAACATCACTGCTTTCATTTGGAAAGGGCGAGTGACTTTCCCATGCCGTAATACCCAGCAAGTGTTGAGAGAATGTGGTTACATAAAACCATATTTTTAATACAACCGACAGACTGTCTTGAGAGCTAAGTGTTTTTTGACAGTTTTTATGCACCTGTTAATTCAAAGCTCTTAACATGTGCCAGTTAAAAAGAGCCAGGCACTAAAACATCCACCCTGTGGACGGCCAGGGCTCAGCTGCACACCAGAGCACAGGGAATCCATGCAAGGTAGAAACTTGGCTTCCCTCACAGCACCAACTGGTACAGAGCTAGTGCAACTCAGAGCTTTTGTTTCCCTGTCCTGCTTGGCCTCGTAGATTCCTGCTTCTGCTTTGGACCTGAAGAACAGCTGACATTTCTTTGGGTTTCTTCTGTCTAGTTTTCTCAGCTATTTCAGAAAGAAAAGATGCCAAACTTCCTGTCAGGGCCACATCCTTAAAAGACAATGCTGACAATACTTCCCCAGGCTCCTCTGCTAAATTTGTGCCTCCTTCTTTTCCTAAAGTGGGGCTGCTTTTGGTGATCAGGTAGAGCCCAGATGGAAACCTGCTGCACCATCCTCCAGTGTGTCTGCTCAGGTATCACCTCCACTCCACTCCCTGCTCAGGTAGTCTCTTCAGAGAAGTTCTCCTCCTCCTCTTGTCTAATATTTTCCTTCCTCTTCACCCTTTCAATATTACAAATTTTCAATGTATAGATTTTCTCAGGGTCATTTTAAACCTCTCACAGCCAGGTCTTCCCTCTTCCTTCTGTGACTTTCTTCCCATACTGTATCTGATCCCATCACAACTCCCTATTTTTAGGGTTAGGTTTAGCTTTAGGTTTAGGGTTAGGTTTAGGTTTAGGTTTAGGGTTAGGGTTAGGGTCTGGGTCTGCACTCTGTGGATCACCCAATGGCCTCATCCCTGTGGAGAAAACCTTGAAAACTCAGCATCATCTGACATAAAGCCTCAAAAAAGCCCAGAAGGCAGATAAAAACAAGAAAGCCTGAGAATTTTAAATACTTGCAGATGCTGACACAGTTGTTTCTGTGGTAGAAAATGACCAGCTAACCCTAAAATGAGTGGCCACCCATTTTTTGTGCCAGTGACTGTGCATTTGGGATGTGTTTCTGTGTAAGGAAGGGTTAGCATCCCTTCTGTGGAAATTCAATCAGGCTTAATCAAGCCTTCAGGTGATAATTGCACTCCCTTGAGGGGATGGGGCTGTGGCAGCTCTAGACCTTTCCTTTATCTCAAGGCCAAGAGGCATGAGGAGTCTCTGGTGTTCAGCCCAAAGCTTAAGAAAGCAAACATCAATATTCCTTCTTGCTAAGTTCCCTACAGGCTGCCTTGGCAGATCTGGCTCATGGTGAATAACCTGTCAGAACAGTACTGCTGTCCCTGAGTGCTGCACAGAGCTTGAACTGACAGGAGGGTTCTTTAGGCAGGGAACACGAGGTGGGGGCTTGTCAGGACAATAGATGGGGCTAGGATTCCACCTCAATAACACTCAGGCTGTTTATTGCAAAATCACCTGGCAGGACAAATCTGCTCCATGTCAGGTGTGTGCACACTGTTCTTTGTGTTGAATTAGCCAGAACATGGTATATAGTGTTTTTCTTGGCTTTACATTTTACACTGACTGCAGGAAGGCATATTATACCCCATCTGGCATAAATCCTGTTGGAGCACAGTTACCCTGTGACAATTCAGAGGATAAATTGGACCAGGCAGAATGGTATACACTCCATCAGTGTTTTGCTGCATGGGATCACAACAGTTTTAATCACGTCCTGGGTACCCTCAAACAAAATTTTCTGTCTCAGTACTGCCCAGCTGTGCTGGTACGTGTTATGCTTATGATGTTGCCTTGAAAAACATGACTCTGCCCCTGCTGAAAGGTTGCATTACTGTTATTTCTTACTCTGCTACTTCAGCAGCTGCTGTGCATGGACTTGACCTGTAGCCTATGTCTTTTCAGGGTGCACCTTCCAAGCAAGATTAAGGTGTAGCTGGGGTGACCTCCTGTTCTGGAATGACAGAACTGGAAAGGATCTCAACACATCCTCCAACTCATAGCCTGTGTGTCCTGAGGGGGAGCTGTCTGATAGCTCCTGCCTCCTGCAGAGATGGAGAAGCTGTCTCTCAGCAGTGGAAGCTGAGTGGAACCCAAGGTCTAACTGGAAACTCCACTCCACACTTGAACCTGGCTCTTCTTGCCCCATGAGCTGTGTTTGAGGAGAATGGTTTTTGTCTTCCCAAGGCCTTTCTCTGTGCTACCCCTTAAAGCACGTGCACAGCAGGCTCTGCAGGGAGGCAGGGAGTGAAGGACTCGGGGTGGGAAGCATCCCAAACTCGCTCAGATCTGTTGAGATTCCAGCAGCACCCGAGCCATCTGTGACTCATCCTCGTGCTTTGCGTCAGCTCTGAGGAGAGATCTCTCTGTGGAGAGATCCTCAGAGCAAGCAAGGCTCTGATTCCCTGCCTGCTGCCACAGAAAACAGCCCCAGGTTCCTGGTGCTTTGTCCTCACGAGGGGACAGGGCTATGATGCAAGATAAGTTCATCAGAAAAGCATGGTGGTTGTTTATTGCTCTGAAACATGCTCTGTTTTCAGCTACAGGAAAATTGTAAGAGTCATAATCCTTGCTGAGAGCTGAGCTGCTTCTCCAAACAAATTGACTCCATTTCCATCTGATTTAAATTTGAGAGAGCTGCTCATGTCCCAAAGCTGAGTGATTTTATCACCCCTTCACCAGCCCCAGCATATGATGACAGGTTTTTTAGATCGAACCAGGGAATAACTTTGCTGAGAGATCTCCCAGTTTTCACCCATCTGAGGAGCCCTGATGTTTCCTTAGAATCCCTTTGCCCTTTTGCTGCAAAGATAGGTTGCTCTGAGGGCAGAACAGATCTCCAGGGATTGAGAGCAAAGGGAGGCTTCAGCAGAGCCTTGAGATCAAGCTTGAAGTAGGAGCTTCTTTCCTTAAGCTCAAAGAATATGTGTAATTTTTAATTTTTTTGAAAGTGTGTGTTAACTACATGAGCAGAAGAACTGCTCATGGGGCAAAATGTGCAAACCTGAATTAGGATGCTAGAAGTTAATTGCATTGCTCAAAAACGTACAGAGTAAAATCTAAGGGGTCTTTCCCTTGGCATGCTCTTTCTTCTTTAGAGAACTTCCTGAAAACCCTGTCCTTGGATTGGTGACTGTGCCAAAAAGTGTTTGGCAGAAAGGTAAATCCAAAGTATCAGCCAGCAGCAAAGCACTCGAATGCTGCTGCAGATCTCCAAATTGATTTCCAGGACAGATGTAATATCTGATCCATCCTGGACAAAGATTTCCTTTGCACAGCCACGTGCAGCAATGAAAGCAGCAATTTCCACTGATATTTCTGCCCAAGAACAGATCTGTTACAGACTTTACCTCCCCTCGATTAAAGCAGCTCCAAGTCCAAACTGGACAGCTTGGTTCCTTGGAATGTGGCTGGTGCTGAGGCTCCTGGGCTGGAATTTCTCACTGTCAGCCATAGAGGGAGCCGTGATGAGAGGCTGGGATGTGGAAGGAGTTTCAGCACAATAGGAATTGCCTGGTTTGGAAGGGAATTGTGCAGCCCTTGCTGCTCCTTAGGGTTTCTGGCCAGCGTGTTCTGGGGTGAACGATGGTAACCGGGGTGGATAAAGGACACTTTGTGCCAGACTCAGATACCTGGGGGAGGGGAGCAGGGAATGAAGCAATTCTGTTTGTTTTGAACCAAAACAGTCCCAAAAAAAAAAGAAATGGGGGGGAAATTATATATTTTTATATAGATATAAAATAAACGAGAAATACTGAGTCAACTTAGGACATGGTGTTTGATCCAAAACACAATGTTCCATTTTAGAGTTGAATTTCAAACCTCCAAAAGGCTCATTTCAGAAACACCTACATGAAGTCAACCCCTTTGCTTTGAAAACACTTTGGAATGAAATGTTTTGAAGTTTAAAAAAGAACCTCCTGTATTAGGCTTGTTGGTTTTGTTTGGTTTTTTGGAAAAGAGTGCTTGTCAAATTCAGCCCAATTTCGTAGAGTGGTTTATGTCCCTCCAAAATTAAACTCTGGTCAAAACTGCTGTTTGCTGCACAAATTCACCCACTGTATCTATGGATCTGCCCAGGGCAAAACGGAGCCTGTGATTCAATGTGGAGCTCTTGGAACCAGGGAGGAGAACCCAGGGTTTGCACAAAGGACACGATTCAGCTCTCAGCAATCAAACCCCAGCTCTTGCTTCCTTTCCAAGGGCATCTGCAGTCCCCTGACTCCACGTGGCCAAAATTCCCATTGTCTCCATGAGGAGTTAAAACACGAAATGAAGAAAACACCAAGTGGAGAAAGGAGAAGAGCACGGGAAGAAATGGCTACAACCCATCTTATTTATCTGCTTCCAAGAAAAAAAAAAATGAGTGTGAGACATGGAAGTTTCTTTTCAGGAAGGAAACTTTTCAGTTTCTTTTCAGGTTTCTTTTCTAATGACTTGGATGATCCAGTGAAACAAATGAGAGCAGCCAGGAGAGTGCTCTGCTCCGAAAGGGCAGGGAAATATTTGCCAATGCAGCAGCTCTGCAAATGTGTGAGGCTGTTAAGCTCCTAATCCCATGTCTTATTTTTATGAATTTTCACACTAGTGGGATATAATGAACGTTGAACCCAAAGACATTAATTACTCGGGTCCTTTTTTTGAGAGGAATTTCGATGGAGTGTAACGTTTTAAATTACAAGGTGTGAAATAAACTCTACAAAACTTACAGCTTTAGTGGAGGAACTCCAAAATCAAATAAAAATGCAAAACCACTGATGAAGTCCAATTTACTGTAAAATGCCCTGGATCATGGTGTTCCAGTAATTTTTTTTTTCTCCCTACATACTTTGGTTAAAATAATTTATATCCGCTGCAGTGTTTATGTACCTTAAGCTTTATTTATTAAAGGATATGTATATTTCAAGCCCAGTTTTAATGAGACATGCTGAAATCTGTAAGGTACAGTGCGACTTTTGTTCTAATCAGCACTAAATCTCTTCTCTTTACTTTTTCTGTGTTGAAAATATTCATGTTGGACGGAAAGGGCCGTGCGTGTATATAAATTTCAGAAATGTATAAATATATATGTAAAGTAACAAGCAAAATTTATTTCTTTTTTTTTTTCTATCATCAGGGCAAATACTCCATCATTGTTCAGTCTGAGCACTTAAAATCATGGATGGATTTTATCCTTGTTCTTAGAACAGGACAATTACTTCTTTTTTTAGGCAAATTATGTATTTGCCAAAGGCTGTGCTTTAGGTTGGCTGAAAATGTTTGGGAATTCACATCAGCTTGAAGAACTGTTTTGGCAAAGGAAGAAAAAGAAGTCCAAGGGTTTTGGCTTTGTTTTCTAATGAAAAGTTTTGAGATTTCATTTTGAACCAACACCCTTAAACTAATGTCAGCATGAACTAAAAAAACTTGGGAAACCGAGAAACTTCTTACAATTCTGAATTAAATGGGGCCTTAGAGATGTTCCTTGGGGGAGTTGATTTGAAAGTTTCTTCCTGTGTTTTTGTTCTTGCAAGGAAACAGAAAATACTTTTGCTTAAATAGATGATTTTGAAAACTGTAATGTTTATGGCTGTTTCAGTGTAGCATTAGCAGTAAGTTTGAAAATTATCTTTGGTTTAAGGAACTTAAACTTGAGCCAAATTTTCAAGACATTGTAGAAAGCCTATCTTTCATTGACACCTCAGGATGAGATAAAACTGCTTAACCTTTACTGATAGCTCTCAAATATGGATATGAAGCAGGTCAAGCAAGTGTCCCATGCAGTCCCTAAACCACTACTAAAAATGGTACAATGGTTCCTAAATCCCTTTAAATGTTGTAAATGGTACCATGGGCAGGAAAGTGACTCTCTCCATAAAAAAAAGCCTTTGATGAAAAGGAAAAAGTCCATTTTGCCAATTTTTTTTCGATTTAATGAAAGAAGAAAATGGGAAGTCTTTGAAGAGTCCTGCCACAAAGAGGGCAAAACCACTTCTGTTTTAAGAGATGTGACAAACGGAACATTTCTGGTACAAACCAACTTTGCTCAACTTTTGCCCAAATATCTATGTTTCAGAGGCAAATAAATATAAAATACAGAAGGCTTTACAGGTCTGATGAGCCTGATTTCCTCACCTATGCACAGAGAACCACAACATTTTCTGATGAACCTGAAGGCACAAGTTCCCAGCAAAGCAAAGTGAAATCTGGGAGCAGAGGGGAGAGGCTTCACTCTGTGTGTCCCATGGCAAATGTTTGCTTTAGAAATGAATGCATTTCTCAGGAGTGAACCCCCAAGCCCAGAAATGGCTGAGCAAGGAATTTAAAGGGAGAAATGCTGGGAATCAGGGAGCGGAGTAATAAAGTACAGGTTTGTTCTGTAACAAATTCCAGCACTTGCAAGACTCTTTTAGACATATGGAAGTCCATTTAGGAGGAAAATTGGTTGCAGCCGCTGACTCAGAACCTGTTGGAATCAGTGGAAACATTTCCATTGTCTTCTGTCCTGAAGAAATGGTGTTTCTGTCCTTCCTTCCATCCTGGCCTGTGCTCACTCTCTGGGCCATATGGATTTCATCTCCCACAAAGACATGTAAGAGAAGAAGGTTTGGCTGTTTAACAGCACAATGGAGCTGTGTGGACAGGAATGGCTGATTTCTACTTGATTTGCTACAAATCAGGTAACCAGCACCTTCAGAGGAGTCACCTGGCTGCATCTGGCTCTTGTATCCCAGAGCTGAATGTGGCTTTAATCACATCAGCACGTTAATTGTGCCCCTCAAGACGAGCTCAGAGGAGCGAGGCTCTGTCTTTCTGCAACCATCTGATTCCTGGATTCTGACCAGGAATAATTGCCAGGCTATCCCTGGGAAAGAGCACTGGGTGATTGTTTATCTGGATAGTGCCCCCCTTCAGCTATTTCAGACTTTCTAGGGTTAAACCCAAAGCTGCCTGCAGGGAATGAGTGAACCAAGCCCATCGAGAACTGATCTCAAAGGATCAATTCTCCTGCTTCACTTTCTGCAAGGCAGGCTCCCAGAAACGGGGGCACAGAAGGGGATGGATGTCCCCAAGCACTCCCTGTTCTCACAGGGTGTCACCTCCAGACATTCTAGAGATCCCTCCCTGCCTCCTACCACCGAGGCCAGGCCAAGTCCCCACGAAGGGGTGACAACCTGCAGAGCAAGAAATGTTCAAGTATTTCAGCATCTACAAGAAAACATGGGTATTTTCAGAGCAGAGCTAGGCTTGAGGAAGTGCAGGAGAACAGACGGGTCAGTTCTCCCCCACTGCCACCTCAGACCCTCTGTGTGGCCCAGACAGGTCCCTTCCCTGCCCTGCCCCTCATTCCCTTTGGTTCCCTCTGCCCTTCCCTTCTGGTGCTCCATGCAGGGTAGGAAGTGCCTTGCCCAGAGGTGCCTGTCTCCTGTTTGTAGTGACAACCCCAGCTCCAGCAAAAGTGGATGTGCCACCACAGAAACCTTCCCCGAATCCAGTTCTGGTATCAACTAGCTCTGCTCTCCTCCTCTCACCACAGAACTGTGACTTTCAGGGCAATCTTCTCTGGGTATTTTGGACAATGAATGTGTTTCTTGCCATGTAATTAAATTATCCACTTGAGAAAGAAAAAGATGTGGTTTTGTTCCCATTACAAAAACAAACAAACAAGGACTGATATTTATTACAGGCCGAGGCTACTCAACAAGTGTTTTCTGGAACTCTAATAAATTGCTGAAGAAAGTTTACAGCTGAGCCCTAAAGATGGTTTAGTTTTCCAAGGGGCTGGGATGTATTTATTTCCCATTTTCTTAACCCACAGTATGGTGAACAGCTTAACGTGCTCTTTCCAGGGTTCAGATGGTGTCAACCCAACCCCATGCTCTTCACCCCGAAACAGTTAACCACTTTTTAATTAAAACCACACCAATTATTCATTTGCAAGTTTTGCATTTATTTTTCCCTGTTTGCTCAGCCTGCTATTTGGTTTTGCTCCCACTTCGTTAAAACAGCTTCCAAAAGAGTTGAAAAAATAAATTTAAAAATTAAAAAAAAAAATTAAAAAATTTTAAAATAAACCTGAATCCTTCAGCCACACACCAAACCCAAACAGCAGAAGTAGCCAGCAAGGAGCCTTTCAGCCAAAGTGAGGATCTTGTCCTGTGCAGATGCTGTGGGCTCTCTGTCCTGTTTGCTCCCCCTGCAAGGAGCAGCCAGGGACTCTCACCCTGCCGCAGTTTAAACCCTCTCCTCCCTTCAGGCACATCATTTGTGTCCAGAGATGGGTGTGGACAGATGTGGGAGCAAGGCACTTAAACACAAGTCGGTTGTTAAGCACGTGCTTAAGTATTTGGCTGGATTAGCAAACTGGTTTTGAAGGGTTTGCATTTAGAAAGAGCCCCCAAAACATTAGAAAGTTGATTTTTTTTTTTTTTTCCAGTTCATTACTGGGCCTGCCAATGACATCATTCGTTTGCAAGATGAGAAAAAGTGTTTAAACGAGATTAAAAAAAAAATTAAACAAGACGCAATTTTAATGGCCACTTACAAAGGAGATTTATGGACGTGCATAAAGCTGCTTTCCACGGGAGAGGGACTAAGCTTTTAACAGTTACCTTCCTTTGGGTTTTTCCCCCCTCTTGCAATATAATACCCACAAATATTTGTGAGTTGTGACTGTGCTCTGAAGGGTTAGTCCTCTTCCAGAAAGGCGGGTGGAGGGAGAAAAGAGTGGTGCCAATTTGTCTGCCCAGACTCTGATTATGGGAGGTGGTGGGGATTTTTTTTTTTTCCTTTCCTGCAGGGGAGAGAAGCTGGTGGGACATTTTCTCTCTCCGGGGTTAGGGATATCTGATACCCAGCCCAAGAGCAGTCCAGCAGACTGAACTTTCATCTCCAGCAGCAAGGGATTTAAAATAAAAAACCCAACCAAACCTTGTGGATAAAAGTCTTAGTTCAATTTGCAGGAGATCTTGGACTTTCTGCTGGGGAAATTAGGGACATTTGAAGGTCTGATTGTAAGGAGCAGAGTGTGTACATGGAGAAGGGGAGAGAGAGAGAAATCACTTGGAGGAAGGAGGTGGTTTCAATACATCTATTTATTTATTTGTGTGCCCTGGGCCCTGCCCTCCTCCCTCCTATCCTGCTATCCAATGACCCTCGGTGCTGATTAAAGTTCCCGGGTGACCTCTGAGTGCTTTTGTTCCCCTGCCTGGTAATAAAACCCCGCTTAAACGGCTGGCTTATCCAAACCCAGGGCTCCTTACACAGCCAGCTCTGGAGCCAGCCCCAGTCTGAGCCCTTGGGAGCAGCAGCTTAGCCCTCTTTTAGCTTGGCCAGCCCTGCTTAGCTGCCCTGGGGCAGGGGGGAGTGGCTGCAGCTCCTGGTGGCTGTCTCAGTGCCACCAGGTCGCTGTCACAGGGGAATAGGAGCCCTGGCAGTGCCACAGCCTGGTTTCTTACCAGGCAGGTAAATGCACTGAAGTCCTCCAAGGTGCTGGAGCAATAAACACAGGCACCATCCACTGCAGGACTGTGCCCTGTGCTCACACAGCTCACAGCCACTGCAACAGAACTGTGGTGAGGAGGTGTTTGTGCTGATACTTGAGTGGTTTCCTGGTGGAACCCTGGGCATGGATTGTCTTGAGAGGCCACAGTGTGTGACATCTGCCTCTCCAGCCCTGGGGTGCCAGCCCATGGCGTCCCTGGCAAGAGCAAAGCCAAGGCAGGGAAGAGCTGAACTCTAGTTCAGATCCACAGACAGCCAGGATGGGATCAGGACACTCCTCACAGCCCCTCTCTCACTTGGTGGAAAGATGATGGGAAAAGGAACCAGAAAAGCAGTTCTTGCCACTGGCAGCTGGTGAATGTGCCTGTCATCCCTGTTCAAAGCTAGGTGACAGCTGTGGCAGCTCTGCCTTGGAATCTAAAATCTGGGACTAGTGCAGACAAACTGATAAACAAATTTCCACTGCCTCAGCCCCCTCCTCCACTTGTGTTTTATAAATGACAAGGCAAGGGAAAGGCTCCAGCCCAGACTGGGTCAGAGGAGGTCTGGGCAAGGCAGGTTGGAGCCCTGGTAGTGAAAACTCCAACCCAGGTGCTGCACAGCCAGCCCAGCTGCCCCTGCTGTGAAAATCAAACCTCTGAGCCTCGGGGGTACTCCCAGGAGCCATCCAGAGGGGGCTTGGCAGAAATACCATTCAGGAGGGGTTGTCCCTGGACGAACTGGGCAGAGAACTCCCTCCCCAGCTCTCAGCTGAGCCTGCTACAAAGTGCCAGGTCCCCTGAAGGTTCTGTTGCTGTGAGGTGGCTCCATCCTCACAAAGCTTTCCATCCTTCCTCCCACACACGGCCAGGGGAAACGGCAAAAAATCCCCTCAGCTGCTATCTTGAGACACCTCCCTTATTACACCTGGTGCACAGCAAAAAAAAATGTAAGTGCATGGCCTTGCCCCAGCATCCACATGGGCTGGAGCACGTGTGCAAGTGTTCTCCTGCCTCAGGTTTTAAATCTTGTACAGTGTCAGTGTTGGGATATTCCTAAATAAGTTCCCAGAGCCAAGTCTTTCTCACCCCCATGAACCAGTAACAAGGCACCTTGCTCTGACTGGAGATGTGATAGCACTTCCAGGAATGATTGTGTGTGCTGTGAACTCAGCCTCTGGTTCAAAATATTGTGCAGAGGAATAATAAATCTCAGTACCAAACTGCTGCCCCATTTAAGCTTTGATTAGACTCTGATGGTCTGTTCACCCTGGAGCTGCTGGTATTAATCTGCATGCTAAACCCTAATTATAAACTGCTCGTGGCATTTCCAGATGACATCAAGATGTTTTGGATTAAAAGGAACCCTGATGTTGAGTTTACAGCTTGGAAGGACTGTAGACTACCTGATCCCCACAGATGTAATAACACACCCCTGTGTGGGGAGGAAAGAAAAGAGGCTTGGTCCAAGTGTGTAGCAGGAGTCTGTGGGGCACAGGTCTGGCTGCAGACCCCAATATGAGCACCCAGCCCCAAAGTCCCCCCCACACCTGTAAAGGGATGTGAGATGCACACAGAAGTGTCCCTGTCCCCAGCTCCACACAGATCTGCAGCAAGTGCAGAAGGGCTTGAGGCCAGGCATGAGAGGGAACCAGCACAATGGGATGGCTGGAGGAAAACTTTTCAGGGGGAAAGAGTTGTGGTTTGGCTCCACAGCACTGCAGCATCGAGGAGCCCAGCAGTGGGAATCTCAGTGGGCTGGACAGGGCATGGGACACTGAGGATGCAGGCTGAGAAGAGGCAGAGAGGTGCTCTGAATCCCTGCCTCTCACCAGCCTTCCCCTAAGGAGCCCTGGCTGATGTTTGGGAGTGCAAAGGGCTGTGTTGGAGCACTCCCTCTCCAAAGCTGCTGGGCTAGGAGAGGAGTGGACATCATTTGTGCCCTCTGCCCTCTCAGTCACCAATCTAAACTGCTTGCACCCCATCCAGGCCCTCAAGAGAGCAAAGCTGGAGGGCATTCAGCATGTCTGCAAACATCTGAGTGCCCTGCAAGGAGCAGGAATAGATGGTGTGGGCATTCTGGGCAGGTTTCCTACAGACACAAGCTTGTTCTGGCTGTCAGCTCCTGCTCCTCACTGCCCTCCTGCATTATTTTCTTATTTAATTTCTAGGATGAAACACACTTGGCAGACCAAAAAAGGGCTCTAAGACTTCATACACTGAAAATGAAGTAGGGGAGACCCAAAGTACTTTCCTTCACAAAGAAGAGCAAAATGCTTCTTCACATGAAGGACACACACCTGGGTACCACAGGTTCTTCTGCCTGGTTTCTTTTATTCAAACACAGGTGGAAGAAAAGCTATTTAGGACACCTGAAAGAAGGGGGCAATCTGTGCTGGTAGTGGCACATGGTGTGGTGGGCAGTGCAGAGGAGTTGGGTGGCAGGGCAGGGCAGGGCAGAGGAAGGCTTGTGTTTCTTGCTGCTTTGCACCCTCCTGCATCCCACTAGTGCCAACCCCGAGGGGTGTGAGCTGCCCTGGGGATTTTACAGCTGCTCATCTGCTCTGGCTGTTTCTTGTTGGTTCCAAGACCCTTGGGAGGCTCCTCAGGTCCTGTTTGTGATACCTGAAAAGTGGCACCAAAACTGTGGAGCTCCAAAGCTGCTGTTCAGACAGATGTGAAGGGAATGTTTCTGAGGGTTTAGAACATGCTTGGAGCTGGGAACCACAGGAGCTGCCAGTGCTGGATTTCATGGGAAACTTCAAAAATCAAAATTACACTCCGGTTAGGGGATTTCTCACTGGCACTGTGGGGTGTTTGTGATTTTCATTGAGAAGAGAAAGCAGAAGCAAAACACGCTGGTCATCTGCAGAGATGCAGATATTTGGGATTCCCCTTCTTGAAATGCAGCTAGGGAAGGGAAAATGGGGGAGTTTGTGGTTTTTGCTTCACTTTCTCCCAGTGCTGGACATGATCACAGCAGAGGGGAGGTAGGTTTTGAGGCAAGGCTCCAGCTGGTGAGTCTCACTGATGTCCTTCAAAATGATAACCACTTGTGGGAGCAGGAAGGGCAAAACTGGGCCTGGCTTGGTGTGAGGCTGAGCCTTTCAGCTGTGGCTGCTTCACCAGGCAGACTTCTGGCTGTTTCAGGACTTTTGGGCATTTTCTTCTGCTCCCTTGCTAAAAGTGGCTCAGTTGCTCCTGCCCTGCTGGGAGTGTGAGCAGAAGGCAACCATTTGCTGGACAGCTGGGAAAGGCAGGA